GCGTAGCTGATTTCTGCGCAGTTTGTTGCACGTGCACGTCAATCTTTGCTTGCATGCCCCTCCGTGCTTGGACGTGGAAGATGTAACGCACATTCTCATTTGGGTTTGGGGCTCGGACCGGTATGGCCCTAATGAGAGATCTGCCATTGCAGGTCTTGCTGTCAGTTTTATTTTCTGTTCTTCATTGTACGGCCGGTTGGGGCGGGGCATAAATTCTGTTTTGACGATACCGTGCCCTGACACCGAAGCAGTACAAATCTAGCCCGATGTTCAGTTTCAAGGTTTCGGCGGCTGTGGCTGCGGCACAAAAAAGCGTCGTGCTGCGATGAGCTCTTGCCCAGTATCCATACCACGAGCGTCCGACTTCAGTTTTTCTTCTGCAAGGCTTTCAGATTATGGGAGCATCAATCGAGGTAAATTGCAGGCTTGCAGGCATCAGTGCACACGTGTATGGATGCATGTAGGCACGTAGGTATGAATGCAGGTATGCATGAGACGGTATTTCTGTGCACGCAATCACACCAAGCGCACGCTCGCGAGAGACTTTCGGCATTTCCTAGCTTATAACCTGCCGGTACTTATGATGTGATGTGGTGGCTATCAGCCGCCCTCAGCATGTTCTGGGAGCTTTTGAACATTAATAGGGATCTTACTGTCGACCCCTGAAGTGGTCCTTCTCCACGGGATTCAAGTTGTTGTAGGGAGGGTCTTCAACACCTCAGCAACTGCTTGTAGCCCCGTAAAGAATCGAACCGGAGCACTGGCAAACGGAAAACATACATACAAAAGCGTGCAAAACCGCGGGATTCTTAAGTTGTCATGCTTTGGTAGAGCTACATGTTGTTCATACGGTTGCAACGATTAAAGCCCTACTGTCCGTGCCAGGACCGTGGTCTCATCCCACGGAGCGTCACCGCTCTTTTCGAGGCCCTTCTTTCGGCTCAAGGGGGCCTGTCTTGTGTAATTGAGGTGCGTGGCTCTCGTTCAGGACTGTGACCGGAATCCTACCGAGGGAGGCGATGGAATGCCTAGATGAATGGTAAATACAGGTATAGCAGAGCCAGGAACCTTGTTTTACTTCTCCGGTGCTCAAGATCCTGCAAGGTCATTTTTTGGGGGAATCATTGAAAAGCCTGAGTTTCACCGGCAGGCAAAATGCATGTCTTTGCTCTCACCCTCACCCCCCCCAGAACCCTCAAGTCGTACAGTCCAGAGCAACAAATCTCCGTTTGTCATTATAAGCCGCTTCCTAGCAGCACCGAGCTTGCCTGCAACAGCGGATATAATCACGTTCAGTGGCCCGGGACTTAACCCCAAAACAAAATGCCGAGCCTGGGCCAGCTTCCTATAAACTTTGCTATGACTCGGTTATCACTGCGCAGGAACAGATCCTAAGCTGTGTGTGTGTGTGTGGGTCAGGCCTTGGCAAGCATCCCGGACAAGGAAGACGTCGAAATTTCCGTGTCCTTTTACGAGCTCTACAAGGCCATGGTGGATACAGCCCAGGGTGCTTCGAAACTGATTGTACATGCAGGTATCCTCTAAGGGAGGCGACCGTTGAAATAACAGGGTTCTAAGTAATCTTGTTTCAACAAGTTAGTATCTTGAACTTGCAAGAGGGGCTGGAGTTTCAAGCATGTGCGCACAGGTTGTGCCAGGCTGGCTAGACATGAGATGCCCTGCACAGGGTGTAAAGACATAGCTTTCCCGGATCGTGTACACGGTTTTGAGGCTAGATTTGGCCGTCTGTACCCGAGATACAGAGCCAGTTAGGACAAGGTTTGTATTGGCAGGAAATGTCGTGCTACATGTAGCTCATCAAGACGGACAGTCAGAAAGAGAGCCATTCATCCAGTCATCCAGTCATTCAATCGTTCATTCATGCATCCATGCATATGTACATCTGTTTGTTGTACATCTCAGCAAGGATGCTGTCATCGACCTGCTCTCAGAGAGGCGGCGGAAGGCACTTGGAAGACTTCGAAGGAGTGAGTGTTAATCTCTAGATTCTTGAATCCTAAACTTGAGGTCGAGCTTCCGATGTTCGTTTGGGCCGGGCTTGAAAGGTCTCCTAGGGCAGAATTTCAGGCGGCTCTTTCAGGTGCCGCGTTTTTGGGCGCTAGGGCTTTTGGGGTGTGGTGATTATCGGGCTTGCCGGAGGAGATCCGAATAAGACAGCATTCGTCGTGTGGGGTTTGAGCTTGAAAGGGCTTGCGTTTGTTGCTGTCGTTCAGCAGACCCTTCCTTTTGGATTTCACGAGCTGGCAATGGAATGCCAGGCATCATGCCAATTTTGGCGTTCTGATCGTGTTGCTCGCATTAGTTTGCAGTCTCATCTTGCTTTCAGCAGTTGGTGCTATCGTCATGCTCCATGCCCTATTTGCACCTTGACTGCACAGCCCTAGAAGCCCGTCTCACCACCATTCTTTCAGCAAGGCTTGGCATCACCACGAAGCTGCTTCTACTTTCAGCCTTTGTCTCGCCACCCTGCTCCCAGCATAGCTACAGATGTGTATCTAAACTGTGGCTAATTACAGTTCATGTATAGCAATACGACTTACACTGTGTGTACCAACAAAATCCTTTAGGGAATTCTTTAGGGAGATTCTCACGATGCTTCCTCATATGGGAGTTTCCGAAAAGAGGGGACCCTAATATAGAACCCTAAATAATAGTAGGATCCTTATGATAAGGCCCCCAAAATACGGTACCCCTAATTTCCGAAACTCCCAAAAAAGCATGTATGGCTTGTTTATAAGGGCTTAGGGTTAGGGTTGTTAGAAGACTTTAGGAGCCATAAACGGTAGGACTGTAGGATAGTGTAGGTAGGCAGCCCCGCCGTGTTTCTTTCCTACCGAATTCGGCTCTCGGACGAAAGGTCCCCATCCGCGCGAGTGAAGGCGGACCTGTCTTGGTCGGACTCCTTCGCCAGGCGCTCCGGGGTGGGTTTCGGGTCTGTAGGGTACCTAAAAGGCTATCCGGCTATCCCTACCCCTGTTTGAGGGTAATTGCCTATTTTTGTTGCAATAGATCCCAACCATGACCTTACAAAAACGGGTAGGGTATGACCCTGCCGGTACTGTTACACCCACCGAGCCTGGATGCCAAAAGAGATCTTTCACGTCTTACCCCACGATGCTTTTCCTTCGTCGCCAGTGTACACCTTGCAGTACAATAAAATGCACAAATGCAGACACCCTGTGCTCGAAGGGAACAGCTTCCAAACAAATCTTCAAGAAGATCGTCCAAAAGGCGCTCCAGAATTGGGAAACAGTCTGTGGCAAAGAGGTGGTTGCCAACCAGACAGATGCCCTACATTTGCTGTTCCAGGGCCTGAGCCTAAGGCTACCGCAGGGCCACGGCTTTCAAGGTAACAAGTCAAAAGGGTTTGCGGGAAAGTATGTTGCCTCCAAAGGCTTGAAGAGATGTAACGTCGTTGGTGCGTTTGCACAAGACTTTTTGATAAGCCGTTCACAAAACTTGATGCGTATCTGAGGCGACCGAAGCCTGAATGATATCATTCCCTTTGTTTGCGCAAGGGCGGCTTCGGATGGTCTTGTACTTCTCCGTCGGGTTTAGTTCTTGGCCATGAACCTTCCTCCGTGAGTGGTTGAGGTATTCAAGACTTGGTCAATGCTCTGAGATTGGCCGTCTGTTCATGAAAGACATCTTCCCTCAAAGCAAGCTCGTTGAAGGGCGTGTTTCTGGAGAACCGCAGATGCACTGGAGATGATTGTAAGGTCTCATGCCTGGTTTTTGTTTCTGTTTGTTTCTCGTTGACGTTGCTGCGCATACCCAGGTGTACATACGCAGGCGTATTTACGTATGTATGTACGCATCCATGCATGCACGCGCATGGTAGCCAGAATGCGTGCATGTCGCCAAGTACTGAGTTGTGTTTGTTGCTATTCACACAAAATCTCGCCTGCAGTGTGTGTGTGTGTGTGTGTGTGTGTGTGTGTATGTGTATATATATATATATATATATGTATGTAGATTGATACAAGTGATTGTCATTGTTCCCATTAGAATTTAAAGCAACATCTCCGAATGCATGAAAGATTCGGCAAATTCAAGCCACCCTAAACCCTCGTGCCCGCCCCATGCGAGTGCGCGAGTCGAAACCCCTAAAACCCAAACCACCCTAAACCTCATACCGTAGACCCTAATTAGTATGTTCAGATGCTGCCAAATCCTCTCAGTGGCATGTTTCACGTATGCCTCGCCTGGTTTGTCCGATTGTCCCTAACCCTTCAAGCCCTATGACCAGTGTGGGATGTGCTTCACCTCGAACCCTAAACATCAGAAAACCCGAGCATGAGGTGATTCCAACCGCCATTTTCAAAACTGCGCGCTCAACTCTGAGTCCTCTCGGGGCCCCGCACTCAGCTCAAGGTGGGGTGCTCCATGCCTTGAGCTCAGGGTTTAGGGTCTAGGGTGCTGAACGACTGGCTAGACTTGAGTCCAGTGGCAACACATAGGGTGGTTCAGAATAATTAGTTTCTAATGCCGTTAATCGGCAGATGCTGGCACTGGCTCCACAGTGCATGCATGTGGGTGCTGTGAAGGGCGTTCAGGGTCCAACTTCCGGGCGAAGTCGCACGCCTGTTGCAAAAGTGTGCTTAATGAGCTTTGGAGAGAGTTGGGATTGTGGCTCAAAGTTTCAGGCTTCGAAAGAGCTCTTTCGGTATTAGGGCATAAAGTTCTAGATTTGGGGATCTCGGCTGGCAAACTCAGAACTGTTTGTTCCTAGGATGAGTCCAAATCACCTGAATTTGTGGGCTCAAGGACGAGCCAACATCCCCTTCTCTCTCTGCCCAGTTTGTCTGGCTTCCGCGCCGTCATAAGTTTTCGACATGTGGTTCTAGCGGATACATGGTCATGCCTTGCAATATGCAAGGGTTGCAGAGCATATGCCTCGTGAGACTTCACAAATCCGACGGTCTCGCGGAAAGCCGGACAGCGTCTTCTGTGGTGGTGTCCCCGTCGGCTGTCGACTGATGTCGTTCAAAGAGCGGCGACTAGCGCCGTTGCCGATGACGTTCCTGCACATCGAAGAGCCTAGACGGAACTCCCAAGTTCTCGAGAAGGGCTTTGGGGTTTGAAAAAGGCTTGCTTGGGACAGATTAGTGCATTCTGTCATTACGCAGGGACTGTTAAGGGATTTGATGGATCAGGCTTCAGGCTCTATGCCCCGGGCGAATAGATTTCTATCTTTTAGCATTTAATTTGGCTTGACGCATTGATAGTTGCCGCAACCACCAGTTAAGTGGCTGCTTGGCAGAGGATGCTTTGGCAGGCAAGCTTCCCAACAATTGGGACAGAAAAGCTGAGGTCAACGACTTGCATGTGCACGCATCTTCTCGGGCATGTGCATGCATGCATGCTCTTTGGTAACCATGCAGTTCCCATGCAATGTATGTGTGTGTGTGTGTCATCCGACCTCAGGATATTGATAATCGCCGACCGCATACGGTCCGGCCTGGCTTTTCCAGCCTTCCACTTGCTGCAAAGAACCATTCAGAACTAATCACAACACGAAACCTATGAGACGAGGGAGGTCGCGAGTTCGAGAGATGATCAGGCCTCAAAAGAAGCATTTGTGCAGCAGAGGAACCAAAGTTTCCGCCATTGCGGCGCTCCAGAAGTTTCACTGGGCTCTTCGCCTGCTAGTTTGCAGGGGATGTTTCGGAGTTTTCTGGGTGAGCAGACTCTCTTTGTTGTCGTCGCGCACCACTTGGGTAGAGTGCTGTCTGCAGGGCAAGAGCACATAAGCATTTGTTTGCGCTGTGCATGACGGAAGCGACGTCTGCATCCAATTGAAGGTTTGCACCATTCTGCTTGAATGGTGCCGCGGATGATGGTTGCTGTGGTCCCAAAGCCGCAGACGACAGTTCCTGGGGCGAAGAGGGTTCAACACGTGCCCGGGCGGCATCCATTCTTGCAAAAGAATGTTTAGCCTCGGGGGGACAGGAAGGTGGAGGAGAACCTAGCTATAGTCAAGGAGGTCTATCCGGTGCATCCCTTCACACCCCCAACTCGTGATTCTAATCAGTGCCTTTCACGGCATAGATTCGACGAGCATGCAGCCTTCATACTTAATACTGGACTCGGTAGCACGGATTTCTGTATCCACGCTGAGTCTCGCTATGGCTCTGGTCCTAAAACCTAGAACAGCTTCCTTGCAGGTGCTGGCACTTCCGTTCCCAGTCCCCCGCCCTCGCCGGATGAAACGGCCGAAGGGACAGTGGAGGAAATGGAGGACGGCGAGGAGCCTGTGGTACCTCTTCCATGATCAGGGATCATCATTCAAAGGTTCGTTGTGCACTGACATACTGGGGCTGTGTCTCGAAGTTCGTTACCTACAGATATAGCTCAGAGCCTCAGTTTTCGTAGAATGGACATGCTTGAGCTTGGGAGCTTTGCGTGGCAGGATCGAGCATTGACTTCCTGCCTTTGCATCTCAGGTCGTGTGGCCCGACACCGACGAAGATGCGCCATGGCTTGGCTGGAGTGCAATGAAGCGCACACCGCCCCTCGGCCGCGGATTTCATTGGCAAACATCGCTCCTTCCTAGTGTATATAGCGTTTTTTTGTAGGACGAGGCAGCTTTGCGTGCGCCATCCCCAAAAGCTGAATTGAAGCTTTCAGGGCTGAGGGATGCTAAGGGCCTTGGACCAATTTTTCTACGAGTACGGTGTTATACAAGAGGCACACCGCACGCCGATTCTTCGAGGGCTGTCGCAACAAGCAATGCCCACTGTTCTAGGTCTTCGGATAATCTAGGGGCAATGGGACTGCCGGGGAGAGAAACAGCTACTATACGCAGAACTGTGTGTATCTATATCTATATATATATATATATGTAATTATATGTATATGTCTATGTATAGGTATATGTACAGATGCACATGTATCTTTACATGCGGTGCTGGGTGAGATCACGAGTGATTCTTTCATATAAGCATTGACGACATGGAGAACCAGCCAGCAACCAAGAGAACCAATCAAGAGCCGAAACTGAGGCTACGACTGCCTGGCGCTCAACATCACAAGGCTCTTGGGCACTGGTTGTGCTTGTTTTAGCTAGTATGGTTTCTTGTATGTTAACTTTCATACATGCATGTTTTGCTTGCCTCCAAAGCCTACACCCGTAAACCCTCTATGTGGAGCCTTGCCTGCCTGGTGCGAGTGTGAGCGTCGAAACCTTAAATCGTCCTAAGGGGAGTGGAGAACTGTCTTTGGGGCAAGCCATGATGGCTAGCCTTCGCTCGCTGCCGCAGAGCCGCTTGGTGGCACCTCCGAGGAGGCTTAGGATTTGTGGTTTAGGCTTTAGGGTTTAGGATTTGGGGTTTAGGGTCCAGGGTTTCGAATGCCTTGGAGACAGAGAGAGAGAGAGAGAGAGAGAGAGAGAGAGAGAGAGAGAGAGAGAGAGAGAGGGTCTAGGGTTTAGGATGTCCAGAGTCTGGGTTCAAAAGAGAGTTTTAATGTTATGAGTTTCGAGTCGCACCGTTCCTGTGGTATTGTCGCTTTGAACAGGGGCATCGTGTTTTTTAGTGCGAGCTCTTTAGTTTAGTGGTGAGACTGTGATAGCCGTGCGCATGCTTATTGCTTTGTAATTTTACTGCCCCCTGGTACGGGGTGCCCGTATGAAAGGCACCCTCTCCCAAATAGTGTTAAATGGTGAATATCGGCATGGCCAATAACCCATTGAATATCAGAGGTAGAGTTTTGCAAACGTTGAACTCGTCAATGCTTCCTTCTAGCGGCTTCATGCTGTAGTTTCGAATCTGACAGTCCCCAGTCCCAGTTCCCGGTGGCTCGTGCGGCCTGCAGTTGCTGCGGTCCTGAGAATGGTAGTGCTGAGCAGTATAGGAGAGAGAAGAAAAAACTGTAGTTAGGGTACATGTAAAACTGTGGCGTGATACAAGCCCCAACCTAATCTGATTCTGAAGACCCCATATCTAGACAGACACAGAAATATGTGCATATTAAACCTATTCGTCAGGCCTCTTAAGCAAAGTCCCTTCAGAATGCTTCAGAATGCAGTCTCTCCCATGTGAAGCTGTAGCCCAAATCGGAGCAGGAGCTGAGGAGCGAAGAGGTTCAGGGCTTTTATGGGTTTACTTATCTGGGTTGTGCTTTGGGATCTTTTTTAATTTCCCCTACTATTTTGTAGAGAACCATAATAGTAAATAATTTTCAAAGGGCTTAAAGGACAACTCAGGTATATATAATGTGCCGCAAGTGTGGAGGCGCAACTTCTGAACATGGCATAGAGGTGTAGGGACAATAAGCATGTGAATGCTGGAAGCAATTAACTCAAGAGTAGCCATGCTTACGGTAGTAAAAGAACAGTAGAGAGTTCACGGATGCGACTTATAACACAGCAGCTTAGGACTGGCATCAGCATCACGTATAGTGTCTGAATTGCTCTAGGCTTTGCGCAGGTACTGAACAACTTTGACGAGTGGAGTGACAGAGCAACCACCTTGAAAGCCTGGACATCAACGACCCTTTCCTTGCCGAAGCCGCCAAAACTTCGATTTCTGCAAATTATTTCCTGTCATTTCTGAAGCACATCGTCCCGAAAGACGTGTCCCTTAACTCGTCCGACGACGTGTGAGAGCCCATCAACATTTGCGGCGCGATTAACCTGGCACAGTATCCTGATGCAGTTTAATCTCATAGATCCGAAACCCAACACCCTTCAAGTGTACACTCTTTCAGGCAGCCACTCTGCAGCATCCATGATGCCTCCTGTTGCGCATTGTGACCGCGGCTTCTCGATACAAGAGCTTTGTTTATGCCCTTCTCACCAGAATGTGTGTGCGTTCGTGTGTTCCTGTGGGATTTAGTGCAAGGTTTAGGGTGTGGGTTGGGTTGAACAGGGTCCAGGCGGTATCAGCCGAGCCCCTCCTTGGGTTCCTATTACAGGACATGATTCTACGTACATGGTTCAGTTGATGGGAATCTAGCAGATTCTAGCAGTTCGCACTGCCGAATAAAGGGCCTGACCCAGGACGAGGATGTAGAGATAGAGATGCTACCACAGGCTCTGTAGTATCTCTGGCGAGGGTATAAGCTGCTGCAGGCGGGATTTCTCGCAGGAGCGTCTATAGTAGTAGGCTTCCTGTCCGTGGTTGATACCTTGTACTTATACGGTGTTCCTGTGCAAGTTTGTTACTTGCAGGTTTTTGGAAGCAGTTGTTGACTGTTCGAGCTGCTAAGGCGACTTTGCACATCAAGGGCAAGAAGTACAACGGGCAGGTGGAAAGGTAGTTTCAGCGCTTAGCAACTACAGCCCGTTCTGAACAAGTTCTTCAGTTGAGGAAGACAGCTCTTCTCGCACTGCACATAATTCCCTAAACCCTAAACCGAGTTCGGCCGCGAGACAGTCAGCTGTGGCGAGAAGGCAAAGCGACAGCTGACTGTCTCGCGGCGGTCGGCGGTGAGGAGATGATGGTCCGCTTCTCCCAAAGGGCCCAGAGAGAACGCCGAATGCGGAAGGATGAAGCCCGAGCACCTGCTCCGACCCAACTCGATGATGGCCCTCACCAAGCAGCTGCACCGAGTGTGGATGACGGGCAGGCGGATGCAGTCAACCTGCTGCAGGCCGACAGGGGCGCTGATGCAACCCGCCAGGCGGAGGGTTACCTCAAGTGGAAAGCTGGGCTACTCAGGGGAGATGAAGTGGTGGACGCATGGGGTGACGAGGTGTTCAGGACCTTTGCCAAACGAGCCTACCGAGAACGCGTACTACAGGAAGGTCGCCGAACTGAGGCATGGTCGCCGGATCCGTCTTCTGACTCAGCTGACTGAGTAGGTGAGCCCAGGGCCTTGGTCGCCATTGCAGTGAAACTTGTTGGTAGGTTGGGTGTAGTTGTACCTCTGTGTGGTTGTGGCTGCCTTGGCCGTAGGAGTGAGCAGGTGCTGTTGTGGGGCTTGGCCTCAGGAGTCTATCTGACAGTGTTTGGAGTGTGACTGCAAGTATCGTCGAGAATCTTCCGTACTTGCGTGGTGCATCCCTTCAGGTATTTGTGTTGTAAGGCATAAGTTTGGTTGCTAGTGTGCTTCTTGCAGGTTGTGCGATGCCCACACTCAACAAGTATGCTTTGGGGAGCCATGACCTGCCAGTATCGGGAAGCGGTGGTGTGGTGGTCATCCTGAGTGGCTCCCCGAACCACCCCTCCGCCAGACTTGGCATTTCAACTAACTTTCAGGCGGTTGAAAAAGAGGGTTCAAAAAAAAAAAACCGAGTTCGGCAACTGCAGGTGTTGGCCATTTCTCGTCGTTCTCAGCCGTGAAATACCCTCCGCCCGCCTCAGCTGCCCTGATGCAGTTCAGTCAGACCTTCAACTACACAACAAACCCAGGTAGATAGATAGGTAGATAGGTAGATATGGATAGCCAGGCATTGCTTGGCATGCTACACTCCCACCCTTATCGCGGTCGTCATGGCCAATCATAAGCAGCCTGTTAACCCCTTTGTGGTCTGTGCATACTGTAGATATGAATCCTCCGAACACTCATACTGAATGCTAATGCTACCGCTCATGCTCATATTATGACAAGACAATACTTCTGCCAACCACTAGCCATAAGCTACGGAAGCAGCCTTCATCTACGGGCTTTGCAGTTCCCAGCTTGTTCGGAAAGAAGAGCCAAGGAGTCGACTACGGCTTCCGACGGGGGCCTGTCAATGGAGAGTTCGGGATCCGAGGCACAATAAGGGCTTTGTTCACATGAAAAACATTTTGGGGTTTATGCCCGAATGGTTACTATCATGGATACTAGTGTTACTCGTTCGTGTAGCACCTACAATCACCAGAACGACGGCCGTTGCGATACCTACTACAGGCGCTGCTGAGTGCGGCTACTGTGACGGTGACTACTCCTACGGTAGGGACTGACGTCCATCCAAAGGTTCGGGTTGTTTGGTAGGGCAGCTTTGGCATGTGTTACGACATCTATTTCTTTTGTATTGGTTTGGTCGTCCTCCTTCTCTTTCTTGCGTCCTACACGAAACCGACCAGGTAGCGAGATGGATGAACTGTGATAACTTCGGGTGTGTTTGGACCTTAAGTCTGTTTATCTTACCACTTGTTGAGGTGACCTGATCATTGAAGCTTATGGTTTGCCTGCCTGTTTGCTCAGTTTGTCGAACGCCCCTTGCAGCATAAAGATACACGCAAGCTTTGTGCAACACCCTAAATGAACACTCGAAAACAGATCTGAAATCAGTTTAGCGAGGCAGACGAGCTCAAACTGACGGCTGTTGCTACTTGGCGCTGCCTTGATGCCTTGTTCTTTACAAGTTGATAGGGGAGTTTCCGAAAGTTGGGGGTACCTTATCTTGGGGTCCTTGTAAGAGGATCCTACTATTTCGGGTACCAGATTCGGATCCCCTATTCTCGGAAACTACCAAATTCCTAGACATAGCGGGTCAGCGATTCAGGACAGTCGTTGTGGTGTTGCAGAATAACGGCCATCAGTCTCCAGGGTTCCTGAGGTTGGGGCCCGGGGGGTGCTTTCCTGAGTCCCGGGGCATTCAATCGAACGCGTCGAACGGAATCAAAGGCTTTGCCTCAGATCCCGAAGAATGGGACCCAAAGTTTTGGTGTTTGCACCATTGGGGGCAGAGGCCATGGTTGAGCATCCTGCCGAAGCCGACGATGATGACTCCCAGACCACCGTGCGCCTCTGTGAACCCGGCAAGTTTGGGATTTTTGGCGCGGAGGTGCCGCTCGATTTGAGGGCTGCAAAAATGGTGGGTGGATTGTACTGTTAAGGCAGAAATATATAAATCATCCGGCTTGATCTTCGTGAGTGCGAGGTGTTGTAGAGCGGAGACGGGGTGGCCCCGATGTTTCGCTGCACAAAGAACATCAGGTCTGGATTTCACTCCTTAACCTAAGCCTACCTTGAACCCTGAACGAACTGCGCTAGCAGTATCCCGGACTCCTGTATAGCCCACAGACATTGCATTCCAGTAGTATCTGACCCAACCCAAGTCTAATCGCTGAGGCCGTTTCAGGCTTGGGCACCTATCCCCTAAACCCTACTTGGAGGGTCGGGGGACTTAGTACGTAGGTAGTAAGTAGACTTATAAGTACCCGAAAAGGGACCCTAATTGGGGTTATGGTACTTATAAGTCCCTAAAATAACCAGTTACTAAGTCCCCCGACCCTCCAAGTAAACCCTAATAATACAGTTTTGTCGAGCTGTTCAACCAAGGTTCCCTGCAATGCGGGCTTCGTCCTTGCTAGGTAGGAGGGGAAAAAATAGTACCAGGACCTAGAAGTTCTAGAAGCTAATTCGGCTGACAGAAAAGGGCCCGAAAAAGAAAACAATAAAACACAGTAGCAGGCACGGCTTCAAACACGGTACCAGGCAACCTCCTTGGCAACGCCTCGCGCCAGCGCCTCATCAAAGCAATCAATGGGCTTCGCTTCGCCGGCCAGCATCTTGGAGACCTGAAGCTAAGAACATTCCACAGTAAATATATTGTACTATGCTAAATAGCAGTACCTATACCAATTATTCCAAAGAAAACTATACTATATAGTATGCTGTACGACACGTGTCAAAATTTTGGGGCTTATCAGGTTCAAGGGGAAGAAAATTGAATTACAGGGAGTAGGGTTTGTGCCGTTAGCTTCATGGTTCCGAGTGTTGCGGATATGTGCACTCCGGACTGCCGCGATTCTATCCAATCATTTTTGTTTTTTCTTTCATGATACAGCATAGTATAGTATATATAGTAGAGTATAGTATTGTATGCTCACCTTGTCTGACGTGTTTACGTGCCGGGAGAGCGGCACTATGGAAGCTGTCGGCACGAGAACCGTTGATTTCCAAGCTGCTTGCTTTACCGATTTGGGCGTTTCCAAAAATAGGGGACCCTAATATGGCACTCTAAAAAGTAGGATCCTTAATATTAGGACATTAAACTCCCATTTTCTGGCCAAGACGCATCCGAGGTACAAGCTGCTCGGGATTGGGAATCACAGCAGCCACGAGACTCAAGGCCTGCAGTCGCTTCCGGGCAAAAAAATCGAAAGGTTGCGGAATTCGGCTTTGATTGGCACCCACGGAACCAAAGGCCGTACTTAGATCCCGAGTTCCAGTAAGGGAATCAGACTGAAACTCCGAAGCAGGCCCCCGCATCATTCTTCGCCCGTGTGCCTGGCAGACCAGTTGTTTCGGAGTTGCCACCCAAGCTCTTCATTCTGCTTCGGTAAGCGCTTCCACTACTGGAATGACTTATAGCCATCTGATTAGCAACTGCTGAGGCTTGTCTGTGGAAACGGAACGCCGTGATCGCCGTTTGAACTGTTCTCTGATTCTCATGAGCCTCCCGAGGCCAAAGCCCCGAAGACCCACAAATCTAAGTTGAATCTACTCGCACAGCCTCTCCCTGCAGGTCACTGCTTTGCAGTGCTGAAGTTCGATTCCGGTGTCGTCGCATTCAAGTTTCAGAAGGCCAAGCGAAATCGGTGCTGTGCAGGATTTGGGATCTGGGGGTGGTCGACAGGGTTTTATTTGTGGGCTGTCTATGGGGCCGTGAAAGGGGCTTATGTGGATGTAATTCAAGGGTTAGGGTTTAGGGTTCCATGTTGAGGATTTATCCCTTAGGGCTCGTGGCCTCGGGCTTTCCCCAAAAGGGTTACTATAGTTGTGCTAGCATCGTTTCAGTTTTCAGTCAGAACTTCATGCTCCCCCTATCCAGGCCGGCATGTGCATGTATGTATTGTATATGTGTGTGTATATATATATATATATATATACACACATGTATGCATGCATGCATGCACGGATGGGTTCATGGATGTCCAAGGATAAGTTGGGCACCAGGCCGCACAGCAAGGATCAGCAAGGGCAGGGATGCTGCACTGAAGGCAGACACAGTTTTCTCCAGGGAGTGTTTCTGCTCTGGTGATATTTGGAGGGGTGAGACTTTAGGAGCTTTGTAGGTTCGCCACACGAACCTTGAACGGAGTGTAATTTTCAACAAGGCATTACGGCTTGACATGCGAATTCGGCTTTACGGCAAAGGGCTCTTGAACGCCAGAAGAATAAGAGATCATGCCTCCGGAGCAACACTCTTGCAAAAACGGTCGGTTCTCCATACGCCTTGATAAACTCCATGCCTCCAGTTTCTAAAGTCCACCCTTCTGCAGGCTTGGAATGCCAAGTATGCCCCAGAGACGTCGGACTTCCAGGCCTTCCTGTCGGGCTTCGGTCAGTTTTGCCAGGATGTTGGGCTGATGGCCCAGGGTTAGGCAAAAGGGTTCCTGGAGTCGATTTAGGTCTCGGGCCGAAGGCCGGTCCGAGTCAATGCAATCTCATTGCTCTGGGTGCTTTTAAGATCTCCTGTGTGTGTGTGTGTTGAGCCCGTTGGGTGTTGGGGGTTCTGAGGGGGACGTTCAGGTGCCAAGGATGCTGCGCTGCAGACATTAAACTCGCAACTCTCCCTGGGACCCTCATCCCTCAACCTATCCTAAGTTTGAAAAAACCTCTACTTGCCTGGCTCGATAGTCCGACTGCAATTGCCAGAACCCTAATTAAGCGCAGCCTAGGCCCCAAAACAGAACCAAGCCCCCAACCCACTCCGACGCGCAAGCAGAGCCTCCACGAACCCCTAAGCCCGAAACCCTCGTAAGATCTTGTAAGCCTGAGCCAAGGGTTCACTCTTTGAGTCCCAAAGCCGACTGAAATAGTCCACCGGGAATATACCTTAAATCATAATTATTTGGGATCCTACTATAATCTAAGGTATATTCCTTAATTAAGGGCTATTGGAGTCTCTGGGTAGGCATCCATGAGCCATCGCGACATGCTCAGAGCAACACCTTCGCAGCCGGTGGCGAGGCAGGGGCACCTAGAGTCTCCGTTGTAGTTCCTTTTTGGGGTTACCTTATAGGAATAGGTAGGGCTTTGGAGTCACGGGTTTAGGGTTAGGGATCTTCAGCTTAAGCTTCAGTCCGTTATCTTCTACAGCTTTTCCTTCGAACTCTTGCCTTAAAACGGGGCTGCGAGTTTCGTGGGCGCTGGCCGGCACCTCAGTCCGTGCTGAAAAGGGTTAGGGTTGGGCATTCTCAAGTCTCCACACCCTATGACGAGCAAGTGTTGCGAATTCGTGAGACATGTAAAGTGATTTTCCTGAAGTTTGAATGTGAAGTGCACCAGACTTGGCCTGAGGGCATGCGCGCGACGGACCCTCAACAGTAGATGTTTTTCCATATGTTAAGGGGTTTTAGGCGTTTTGCAGGACATGGGATTTCCGCAAACGGGGCTTTGGTTTCTTTCTGCGATTGAGGCAGCTTAGGGTTTGAGGTTGACGGGTTTGACTGTCTGGGGGATTGCGTGTTTGTGGTGGTGATTAGGATCAGGTTAGGGCTTGAGAGTCCTTGATTGTGTTGTGTTTTTGTTTGTTTTGTGTGTGTGTGTGTTCCGGAACCTTCCGGAGCTGGTAATCGCAGTGATTTCTATGTTATGTTCATGCTGCTCTCAATATAGACACTAGCAACACCGGCTTCATATGAGCATGCACTGACATGCTGGAACTACTTGCAACACAATTTCAATACAGGGGCCTGTGCATTTAAATGCCAATACTATTTTTATAGGGGGGTCCTTGTTATAAGTATAGTATAATATGCCCCCAAACCGTATTCACACTAACTATTAATGCCCGTATAGTAAGTTGCCCACCTCGCACAGCTCCATGCCGCCTCGAGGCCACCGACGAAGGGGAAGTCTTCGGAGAACCGTAACTTCGCAGCGAAGAGTTGAGGTAACCCACAGCCCTAAACCCATACCCTAGACACTACGAGGCCCTTTATCGAGCCGGACTTTGATATAGGGTAGTGTGCGTCCACGACTTCGAGTGAAGAAAGTCCTAGGGCGGGGCATGGGATCTTGTTCGAGATTTCGGGGTTTGGGTTGGTTCCGTCGTTTTTTGAGCCCACCTAGTAAGATGTGTTCGTACGAGTGCAACAGGCACGCAACCGGACTTGAGAATGCACGGCTTTGGGACGTCAGTCTTCGGAGCTCCATAGGACCCAGGCCCCACTTGGGTGCAGAGGGTCGCCGTCGACCAATCTCTCTCTCACTCTCTCGCGCGCTCTCGAAAGGGTGCTGGAGCAGGTGTGAACACCTGTCGGCACCCATGCGAAGAGTAAGCTTCAAGTGAAGTCGTGGGCTTTGTCCCACCTCAGGCCTAGCCTCTAGCCTCTCAGATGGTAGTAAAGACCTCGAGCTGCTATGCACTTCGCAAAGTTTTGCCTCTCCCTGCTTCTCTCTCTCTCTCTCTCTCTCTCTCTGTCTCTCTCTCTCTCTCTCTCTCTCTCTCTCTCTCTCTCTCTTCCTTCGCACCCGAGCATCCGGAAGAACCCTGGCTACACATGAGACTTCGACTGTGAGCCCTCCTGACACAGCAATTGAGTCCTCAGGATTTCGGCAGGCAGCAAAACCTGCGCCAGCAAATCAGACGAAGGCAGGACTGCTGTTAGGATTTCCGTCTGCACGAAATTAACGCTCACACACTCAATCTTGTACGCCCAGGCAAGCCCTGCGAACTGGCACCTTGTAGCAAGAGTATCCTGAGTTCTCATGATCATGTCAAGTCTATCCAATCCCAAACGCGGGAAGGCTTGACAACCAGAACTCTACGCTGCCGCAAACTCTTGAGGCTGTAAGTACCTGTGCTCTATGTCTATGTATCTCTTTACAATATGCTTTGCACATAGAGAGATATATCGATACTTAGCCAGGCTTATAGATATGGAGATCAAGATAGATATGTAGAGTGGCGGATCGACAGGTAAACAAGCAGACAACCGGACAAGCGAACGACCAGATCGATCGTAGATGATCGGCAAAAGAGTAGATACATCAAGCTAGACTGCTAGGTTAAGCGATGGACAGATGGACCAGTAAGTGTACAAGGATCGATAGTCGGGGTAAACACAAACAAACAGCTACGTAGACATATATATATATATATATGCATACTGTAATGTGTACGTATGTACAGCTCGATCGTAGATCAACACATGACCAGACAAATCGGCAGATAGACGGATGATGAATTCGGTAAGCAGCTAGCTAGTTAGATGCATAGACCGACGGATACATAGATGGATAAACAGACATTTAGCTAAAGGTAGGGTAAAAGGTAAATAGGTAGATAGATATATCCAGACAGGTGAGTTGATAACTAGACACAGAGGAAAGGTGTGTATGGGTCGTATCATAGTAAGGGCCCATAAAGGGGACCATAATTCTGACAACCGCCCGTATAGATAAATGTAAGAGTCTGCTCCTGGAAGGCAGCTTCCCGCCCGATGCCGCCACCGCCCCCAAAGAAGGGTATGGCAGCCCCGCCACTGGGATGCCACACTTGTTGACTTAGCTGTGAGTCCAGAGCAGATTGTGTTTTTGCAGTTTTGAGTGCAAAAGTTGGCTTTCGGGTTGAGGTTCTGTCTTCAACTTGATGCCCGAGTTGTCTCCCGCAGGTTTGGTCACAAACTCACGTACCGCATGGGGCTCCCAGAGTTGAAACAAGTCTGCCGAAAACGCGAGCCTCGAGCATCCTGCGAGCTGCAATTCCGAGATGTTCGTCTCGATGGCCTCATTTCGTCGCATGCAGAACAATATCACACCCAAGCCGCAGAAGACCAGGCAAAGCGGCGGTGTACAGCCGCCGCAGCTGATGCAGGCCATGAAAACCGCGGCGCTGGCTTTGCAGACTCTCGGCGACACGGTCTAAAGTTTATGGGCGGAAATATGGCCAAACAAAAAGCCTCAGCAGCTTTCGGTCTTGCTGTCGGTGTTGACGCCTGCAGCTCAACGTCTACCTCCTCATCACTAGAATAGGGCTTGGTGCTGGGGTCGGCCAAAAGAAGTCGAAACTACAAAGCGAGTACTTACAGTGGCTGTTTCCATTCCGGGAGAATGTCTCGTTTGAGCGCACCAGTCTCCGTGGCAGCTCGGCGCAGGTCTAGGTATGCAGGGGAATTCGAGTACAAGGAGAGAGTCGTACCCTTCTTTCTAGACGGGGAGTTGTAATTAGGCAGGGTTCCGCCTGCCTGCCTTGCAAGTGCTTCTTGGCCACTTGCTGCCTCAAGGAAAGCTCGGGCAATGATGCCACCAGTGAACATGCAACCGTCGAATATGTGCCCCTGACTGTCACAGTCAGCAGAACGGTGGCACCGCCTGTGTTCATCCTGTAGGCGGAGAAGAACCGTATCAAAGGCAGAATCGATGGTATGAGGCTGCCAAACTTGGAGGATCATATTGATTTTGCAACTTTACCTGCAAATGCCTACCAGTTTCAAGTTACCTCTGAAGTTAGCCGGCTTATGCCATACTCGGTATTACTCCCTTCTCAGGCAAGGGACGTCACATAGTTGAAAGAACACAAACGGGGAAGGGGCTCGATGCACGATCGCCTTGGGGCTGCAAGTGCCCAGAATACAGCATGGTGGTTCGCTGCAGGGTCTGGAATCATGGGACACAGTCTACCTTTAGAGTAGACTAGCAGGTCCGTCCGGCGACCGTGTCGCAGGCAGCAGGTTGGTCTGTTTGTCAGTCAGTCAGTCAGTCAGTCCGTGTGTCTGTCTGTCTGTCTGGCTGTCCTAATTTGCATGCTTTCATGCATGTATTTCTGTACTATGTGTTCAGGCAGACAGGCAGGTATGTACATATGTGTATGTATGCACGTACGTGTATTTATAGTATACAGTATAGAATACATATATGCATGCATACATACGCACATCCATCCATCTATCCGTCCGTCCGTCCGTCCATCCGTTCATGCATGCCTACATACACGCGGACGGAGGGACGGAGGGACGGAGGGACGGAGGGACGGAGGGACGGAGGGACGGAGGGACGGAGGGACGGAGGGACGGAGGGACGGAGGGACGGAGGGACGGAGGGACGGAGGGATGGAGGGATGGAGGGATGGATGGATGGATGGATGGATGGGTTTGTGCACGTGTGTGTGTGTGTGTGTGTGTGTTGGCGTGTGTTTGTGTGTGCAAGCATGTATGTTTGTTTTAGTGTGTTTGCTTCCACGTTTGTGCGTTTGTCCGCTTGTTTGCATGTTGCCTGCCCGCCTATTCTTGTACACATGTACACATGATACGTATCAACTTGTTTATGTGCGCACCTGTTTACAGGCATATACAAGAGATGCAAACATACATCCAGACGGCTCCCCATCACAGCTTCTTATGTGATCATCATAGAGCATGCCCACGTGGCACCAAAAAACCGTGACACTCGGAACGGACATGCTGGGTCCGAAAGGCACTTGCGGCTGTAAGCTTGGCTCTGCCGTGAATCCAGCACGATTCTGGGGCATGCCTCACCAGTGTTTCTCTCTGCAGCTCTCATATTCATTCAGGGCCTTCCAGGACATTCAGGCTGATGTTCGGACGAGAAACTTCCAGGGCAGGAATCTCCCGCAACCCGGAAGTTTCTCGCCAAGTTCGGACTTCCAAAGTGTTGTGGGCTCAGACTTAAATGCGGATGCCGAACAGTCTTTGGGCCCAGCCCATGCATGTCCAGAAGCCCGACAGTCGGTAGAGTCTGATGGGTTAGCTGCTCGCAACAGAACGGTTAGATCCTAATTCTCGTTCCAGACTGCTGAAGACCGTAGAGGATAAGATTCCCCTCACTCGTTCAGTAGCTTCGGGCTCAAATTTTTGTCGGGTCTGTTGAGGGATGCTGGAGAACACTTCTGCAAGCAGAACTATCAGCAGAATTTCTGGAAGACGCAGAATGCACCGCTTGCATGATGCATCCTTCATCGGGGTTAGCAGGACAGGGGGTCCAAGAAGCCTTCCTAATCCCTTGCATCTCTCCGTTTCTATCTTGTTAAGGCTAACAGTGTAGTTCCTAGTAGCAGTAGTAGTAGTAGTAGTAGTAGTAGTAGTAGTAGTAGTAGTAGTAGTAGTAGTAGTAGTAGTAGTGGATTATTATTTGGGTGTTTACATTAACTGTACTTGCTCGCAGAACGGGTTCAGCTGCCAAACATGTGCTTGTCACGACGTACATGCGTACACCGAACGTTGTTGTTTCTCTCTCGCTCTCTGTCTCTCTTCCCCTCTCCCTCATCCTAGCTTGCACTCTCTCTGACTTTCTCTGTCTCGCTCACATTCATACATAGAGTCGTTAATGAAAGAGTACACCAGTCTGTGTATGTTTCTGTTTTGAGCAAGGGTTCTTCCCATATGCACCCTCTTGATCAGTTTGCAACTTGCAACCCAAACAGCGGCACCACATGCGCGCTGCGCTGCTTCCAAGCTGTAGTTGGGCCTGCATATCTGGAACATGTCGGTTTGTGTTTTTGGTGTCTTCACGCAGCTCGACCAATACAGTTACTTGCCTGTCTGCCTGCCTACCGGCCTACCTAGTGGGTACTCGTACCAAGAGCAGTTTCAGACAGGCCACAAGCAGACTTCGAACATGCCTTGGACAAGACGGTGCCTGCGTACATGCCAGCATCAACGCTTTGGCATTTTATGTGATGAACGACTTAGTTCTTGTTCTTATCATTACTCTTCTGATGACTCTGATGTTGTGACGAGTCATCGTACCTGCTATCCGGCTATCTTGGTGACTGTTTACCAATGACATTGCCCTAAGCCCTTGGCCGTCATAATCTTGGACGCCCCTTTCTTTCCCTAGCGACTCTTCCAGTCGAGGGATGCAGCTCTTAAAGCTCAAAGCTGGGCTTTGATCGGATGCCCCGCCACGAAGGAAGCCTCCCCCCGCTCATAGATACCATTTTGGGGGCTGACATAATTGTAGCTATGATATGATATACTGCAAAACCCTCTTCTTCTACTTGTTAAGGCCCCTATGTTAGGATTTCGGATCTAGAGCATGTTCGGACCAGAGCCTTTACGTTTTAAGTTCTAGCATGTAGGGGTTGAGCCCCAATACTTTCTAGGACTTGTCACCGTTTTCAGCATGCTGTAGCTGCCTGGGTCCCCGATACATCTCAACTTGGAGCAGAAGTCCGGACACGAGATCCTGTAAGATCCCCTGACGGATGGTGTTTGTATGCAGCAATGTTTGCGGTGGCGGTGACCTCCTGTTCGATTTGAGGCCTCAGGTTGCCGGCCTTCCTTGTCGGGGCATCTGAGGCGCAGAATTACTCGAGTCGAAGCATGTAGGCGCGCTTTCCAGTGTTGCTAAGCTGCTTACTATAGGGGCCTTTATAATGGTTCTTTATTAAAGTTATATAGTATAATGGGCCCGAAAAGCCGATTCGAACTCTTCAGGGCCCTGCATTAGAGCCCTAGAGTCAGACTTGGGATTGGTCCAAAAGACCCCAGAGTTGCGTCAAGGCAGAAACCTCGCAACTCCAAGCATCATGCCCCACATCCCGTTTTAGGGTTTAGGGCAAGGCTGCTGCAAAAAGGGTGCCTTTCATGGCTAAGTTACGACTGCCCTCAACCCTTCATGGCTGATATACATAAGAATGCTTCTTCCTGAAGTCGGACCAGAAGTGCTTGAAGTACCACGATCGAGCGGCAAACTACACCTGGCGCGCCGGTACATCTACCGTGGAGGCCAGAACCACGAGGATTCGGGAGGATCCCTGGGAAGCTTCCTGCCACAGGTCTGCTTCACTTGGATCCTATACGACTCAACTGCCTTTGCCATGACATGTTGCTGTAGCTGCTGTAGAGTTTTACCAGTAGACTGTGAAGCTTTGATGCTGCAAAGGCATAGGACGGCGTGTGCCCGCATGCGGGAGTTTCCGAAACTTAGGGTTACCTTATTTCGGGGTCCTTATAAGGATCCTAGTATTAGGGTACTATATTAGGGTACCCACTTTTCGGAAACTCCCCTGTCTAAACAGAAACGCTGCCCGGTAACTTTAGCTCTGTGGCCCTCGCACCAAAATACCCCTCAATGTAGAGAGCCCCCGAAACAGAAGTCTAATATAAGGGCTTACATAATTACCCATACTATTCCTAAGGGCTTTTTAACTATAAGGAGCCCAATACGTTAAACTCACCGCCAACTTCGTGCTGCTGGTCTCCTGCGTTCGCCCCTTCAGGGTGGCCACACGCCCACCTGCCATAGCGGGCACTTTTCTGCATGTTTCAGGTCGGCGTGTCCGTTTAGGATTTTCGTTTAAAGTTTAGGGATCGAGTGAAAATTACGATTACGAGTTATATTTAGTACTTCAGTACACAGTGTAGCAACTCCATCTACTTCATGTGTATTCAACTACATGTTATGTAGAATCCGTCTTCAGACCGAGGGTTGTTAGACATTGCTGGGGTTCTACCCCTTTGACCAAGCAAGCGGGATAGGAGGCACTGTGGCTACATGTGCGGACATTGGAGAATCGATCCGAAACATGCCGGAAAGGATGATAAAAGCATAGGCAGTGAAAGGGGATGCTACCACCGGGCCTTGCAAAAGCGTGTGTATACATATATATATATATATATATATATATATATATGTCTGCATGTATGTATGTACGTATGTGTCAAGCCATTGCCGCCAGTGCTGCTACATGCTGCTGCTGCTGCTGCTGCTGCTACCGCTGCCCCTACAGCAACTGCTACGGCTGTCACCATCGCTACCGCTGCTGCTGCTGCTGCTGCTGCTGCTGCTGCTGCCACGGCCACAGCTCGTGCCGATGCTGCTGCTGCGACTGATACTCCTGCTGCCTGCGCTGCTACTGCTGATACTGCTACTGCTGCTACTGCTATTCCTGTCCCTCCTGCATCTACTACTACAACCTACTACTACTTCTGCTGCTGCTACTGCTGCTACAGCTACTGCTACCGCTGCTGGTACTGCCACTGCTGCTGCTGCTACTACTGCGACGACGACGACTACGACCTACGACTACTGAAGTGCTATTACTGGTAGGAATTGTTGCAACTACTGTTTACTACACTACATGTTCTCCTTCTAGTTCTACTTCGGGGTCCTTATGGTACTCTGCCCAACTTGTGCAGCTATTGTGACGGCTTCGGTGACGACTCGCCGGCGACCGGAATCCTACCCAGCACGTAGCAGTCGTTACAAGCAGATGCACAGCAGCAATAGTGTCGTTTTGCAGTCAGTACTGCTGCGAGGCCCAGTGAGTAGGCTCCAATAGAGAGTTGCAATGCGCAGGAAAGGTAGGCGATGCTTTGAAT